TTACCTGAAATACAGGTAGTGTCCGGAGAGAAACTGCAGAGCGTGACTGCTAGAGAGGAATTCTGTTCCTGGCCGTAGTCTTTTATAAATGGCACCATTGTTCTCTGCACCATTAATTACTTAGCTGGGTGCTCCATACCATGTTACTGTTCTTATCAAGGCAATGTTAGTGTATATTCTGCATAAACATTGGGCCATGATGTAAACATTTTCTGTAAGGTTTTTTGTTCATATATAATTGTATTTACCATCTTTGTAATTTTCATAATGGATATGATAGGGTTTTGCTTTCATTGGATCTCTACAAAAATAAGACTAAGCATTGTTTTGTACGGTTAACCTATGATAGCCAATCAAAATACAGCCAACAAACTTAGTGACCCTGTCATGAGAAAAGTATAGGGGCTGCAATTGCGGACCTGTCCTTTGAGAATTATAATTCGCTGGCCATCATGCTGGTGCTTTGGCTTCAATGCTTACTGAGTCTATAACCTGGAACAGACATTTCTGACATCTTTCTGACTTTTTCCGTCTCATTTACAGAATTCTTGCTCTGTGTCCGCGACTTAAAAGTCTTAAATTCAGACCCAGCCAGGAATTAGCATTTTAAAATGAGAGCCAGCAACACTGCCCATACTTTTCCTAAAACAAAGTATTTTTAAGGATAAATTAGCTACAAATTGCATTGTCCATAGCAATAGACCACCATCAATCTTCAACTGATATGTTTTTCATAATATATTTTTCTTTTGGTCATGTAGATATTACTGGACATTGCTACTTGACGGTTTAATTGAATAAAGCCCATGTATTTTTAGTTGGTGGAGTTTATGAGAACAGGTAAAGGTTTTTTCCACACCAACACTAAATGAATGGAAACACAAACAGTAGATAGACAGGAATATTGTAGATGTCATCAAAGAGAAGGACAACATGTGTCCCCTCTGCTGTTGCAGATATAACTATCAGGAATGTTCATGAGCTATATTTCCATCACATGTGGTGGAATATAAAAACAGAATTAGGAATGCAGCCCTGCATTGTAAAAAATAATGCTGGCTGTTATGGAAACACTAATGAATGCCTTGCTGATCAAATGTTGAATGTAAAATATTACACATTTTTGTCATATTCAAATTTTTAAAAGGTAACTATACAAATCTTTTTACTTTTGTTTAAGTTAGAGCACTTATACCAGTGTTTCCCTTTTTTGCCAGGCATGTTTGCCTGGCTGCCCATGATCTGCAAGGGGAGATAAAGCATCAGAGGGTCCATTTGGCCTTCTAATCTCTCAGTAAAGAGAGTCTGCCACTGCCTATGTTCTGTCACATTAGGGGCATAGTCAAGTAAAAAAAAAAAAAGAATATGTTACGAAATAGCACTTAAAGAAAAAACAAAAACAAACCTTATACAGGCACATACAGTTAGGATGGACGCAAATGTGTAAATCCTTTTCAGTAACGCATTGGGTATCACCATGCACGTCAGAGGTAGAAAAATAATCACAGGGCCATCATTTAGGTTTATCTCTAAAGTTTTTTTTAAACGTTTTTAATGCATTATCTACTTTTCTGTTTCCCAAGCGAATAGTAGGCCGGCTCCATGCTCTCTTGTCATGAGATGACGAGGGAGCATGAAGCCAGCTTCCCAGCCAATCAGAAAGCAGGTCGTCGCGTCAATAGATGGCGCCCGGCTTCCTGATTGGACGGCTCGGGCTGGGTACCGGACGAAGGCCGCATTCTCGCTGGAGAGGCCCCAGGGGATGACAGACTACACATACTAAGGTAAGGTAACCTTACCTCACGAGGCCAGCTTCCGGTCAATCGCGAAACCGGGCAGCGTGTAACGAGTACTTGCCCAAATACTCGGAATCGGCACCGATATCGATACTAGTATCGGTATCGGTGCATCCCTAGCTGGATGTATTTTAAACGTATTAAATTGACAGTCTCCCTATTTATATTTAATGGAAGATTTAGGGGGCTATTCACAAAGGATCCAGCTGTAGCAGTCGAACCGAAGGGCTGCTATACGAGCTAAACCGAAGGGCTGCTATACGAGCTATTCACTATAGCCCATACAGCGGCCGAGCGGCTTAGCCAAACCGAAGGCATATGCTTCAGCTCGACTGAGCCGAAGTGACAGCCTAAGCGTGGTGAACAATTAAGGTTCTGACGAAGCCCCGGTGGGCGGGGCGAAACGCTTCGACCTCTGTATGCTTGACATACAAGTTATGTGACCCACATTCACGGCAGCTCCCTCGAGGATTTCCCTCCCACCCCCAAGAATGGTGATGAAAGGATATTTTATCCCGTCTGTGAGCACTATATAATCATCCCATGACCATCCTGAAACAATGGTGGAGAATCAAAATAACCACAGCAGCATTCAAAACGACAAAACTTCAAAACTTGGCGGAGGAAAAGGGGTATGAGACATCCAATCGTGAGTAAGGTCAACTACAGAAATATCATGAAATAGTCCTGTACATGTCTCCCCCTTAAATTACTTGATATCAGGATGATAGTGTTATTACGGCGATTATAATATACTCACTACTTTGGTTGATCTATATATCAAGATATATATACACTGAGTGGCCAGTTTATTATGACCACCTGACGTTTGTAGGCAAATTAGCTATAATTTCGCGCTGAAGTTGCTAGAGGGCCAGACCATTATAAATAGGGAAGCAGGTTGTTTACCACGACAGTAGAAGTGATTTTTTTCTGAAGATATGGGTAAATAACGCGATTTAACAGTCTTTGAACGTGGGATGATTGTTGGCGCAAGCCATGGAGCGAGTATCAGCAAAACAGCAGAATTCGTTAAGTGTTCAAGAGGGGCTCATTGTTAAAGTGTTTAAAGACTGGACTGTCAGCCGAAAATCTGGGTCTGAACGTGCGCATTGTGGCGGTCAGCAACTAGTCAATGTTAGGGCAGAACGGAGAGTGGCAAGACTGGTACAAGACAACAGAAGGGCAACAGTGCAGTGTCGGATTCCTCGCATCACCTTTCAACATCTCGTGGAGTCACTAGGTGGCCCAACAAAGTCATCCCGTGGAGTTATCTCGTGGCCCAACGAAGTACTGATGGGGTGGTCATAATAATCTGGCCACTCAGTGTATGTGAACACAGCTCACAACTTGAACTCAATAAGCCTTTCGGAAGAAATTGGATTGAACTATCTACAAGTTACTTTGATTCCAAAGGTCTTCTCTACTGAATAGATCATACCGATACTTTTTGTATCAGTGTTACCCTTTTTTTCTCTCACATAAGGAAATAAATATATTCAATTAATTATTGTTGAACTACAAGCTGAATTTAAGACTGCCATGACCAAGGTCTTGATTGTGATTGAGAAAAGGTGCTAACTCTCAGATCACAGTATCACCTTTTGGATACTCAGGGAATTGACATTGCCGTAGTATGTGTGGGGCCCATGGTATGAATGAGTGAGTGATTGAGCGCTATGAACAACTTTGTCCTTTTTACCAGACCTGGATGACTAGCTCTAATTATACACAAGAGGGATTTATCCAGTGGCATTGGATCTCCAGGGAACACACACTTTTCTATCAGAAGCGTGGCGAACAGCCTGCCTTAAACCCCACAAATGACAGTTGGGTGGAGCCAGCCGTGATCTCACGGCTGACTCCGCCCAGTTGTAATGGCAGATCAGCGTCCCCAAATGACCTGGGGAGGCTGATCTGTCATTAAACAATAACAACTGGGCGGAGCCGGCCGTGATGTCACAGCTGGCTCTGCCCAGTTGTTATTCATTGGCCAGAGTCTAGAGAAGACTCTAGCTGATGCCGGCCAATAGGAAACAGTTGGGCGAAGCTAGCTGTCACTGCTAGCTCCGCCCAATTTTTATTTATTTAAATATCTTTATTTTTTAATTTTACTATACATTCACATATTTATTTATTTTTTATTCTAACCTTGTTTTTTTCCGACTATTTTCAATGATTTTCTATTCTTCTATTCTGCAGAATGCCGCTCGGTGGCATTCGGCTATTCACTTACTGCCGTTCGGCCCCTATGTGAATAGGGGCGAACAGCAGCAAGTGAGGTTGAAGTCCTTCTGCACTTTGGCTCAGCTGAACATGCAGAGCATGTACGACTGAATTTCAGCCATACAAGCCAGAAGTGAATAGCCAAGCAGCTCTGTTCACTTTGGCTGGGTTATTCACTCAGCTGCCTCCGGCAGCATTGTGAGTAACCCCCTTAGAGATTATATTGTTTGCGTGCACTAAAAAAACTAGTGAAAAATATGCCTTTTTAACCAACCGGGCTACTCTTTTTATCCTACTCAGCTAACAAAATTTTTAAGGAAATGTATGGAATATGTTCCGCAGCTCCTCCAGAATACCCGCTCAGTGCCATTTAAATGTGTTCCAAATGGTTTATCTGCTATAAATAATGTTGTTGTTTTCTGGAACACTACTTATTCCTGCGGCCTGCATTGACCCCGGCAATTGTGAAAGTGACATCTTTGCAATGAACCATGAGTGTTGAATGACTGTAATTATTGAACATCCGGCACAATGACTGACATTTTATAGGAGTACCTGCAAGCATACACACACACCAATAGCCTCTCTTTAGGACTTGCTTTACAGAGATAGGTTAACAGCCACGTAAACCTCTTAACCACGCCACAAGAAAAAACGTACAACTGGCCAGCACCTGCTTGTCCAAAACACTGTCCAGACCTCATCAAACAAGCACAAAAGTAATTGATCTACTTTTCTTTCCTGAGGCTGTTGTAGACAAGTCACTCAGGTAGCGTGTAGGTAAAAGGGGAAGAACATAGGGAAGCACTTTGCAGGGGTTGGGTCAAGTGTTGTGTGTTCAAAAGGCTGTGGTAAATTCCATGAGACACATTTTCTGCTGCAGATTTTACTTTTTTTTTAAAATTTGCAACATAGTGAAAATTAAATGCACACCATTTATTTTATATGTTTAATATGCATCAATATGTTTTCTTGTAGCCCAACATTGGAAGGCAGGGTATTCCTCATGGACCCTCTGGGGAGAAGGTTGCTGTAGTGACAGTGGATGATTGTGACACAGCAGTAGCTGTGCGTTTTGGAAATATTATCAAGAACTACACATGTGCCGCCCAGGGAACCCAAACTGGATCCAAGAAGTAAGCTTTTGGCTAGATACATCAAAAGACTTCCAGCTTTAAAATTAAAGACCCCATTTGATTTGGTTTCCTTATTTCCTGTAGAAACTACTAATAAGCATATTTATTAAAACATATGTACCAGAAAGATTTGCCTGCAGTGAACGTTTGGTGTATGTCACATTCACTGCTTTTTAAATGTGCCCCTGTTTTCCTCATATTATCTATCCTTACTTATTTGTTAAATATATACAAATTCACATAATTTTCTGAATGTAAGTAGAGTGCTGGTGATTTTACAAAATCTGAATTCAATCATACAGTCATCATGTTTATACTTCTGAATAACTAAATGTGCCGATAGCTCGGCACATTTAGTTATTCATTTTTCTTGTATACACACTCACAGTGGGTGTACATTCCAGTGCTTTGTAGCTGTTAGCTTGCTTATTGGCGCAGTTCATTTTCTATATATATGTTTATACTTCTTTCCACCTAATGGTAAAAAACTTGGTAACTGATGTTATGAAACAAACATAGAAAGCTAAAGAGAGAAAAGCTATTGCATTTATTTATGGACAATATTAACAGACTGGCTGGAGTTCTGACTTAAGTTCTACTTTAAGAATGAAAAGTGTATATAAATGTGTTTCATTAACTAATTAATGCATTGTACAATGTGTATTATTATTAATAATTTGTATCATTATTATCATTAATAATTGATGATGATAATAATATTATTTATAATACATACTACTTGTTGTTGTTGTTATTATTATTTGTATTATTTATTGAGGTTACATAATAAATATATATATATAATTTTATTTTATTTTTTTGCGTTGTGGTTTTAATGACAATGTTTGTGTTTTGTCCTTTTGACAATAATAATTTTGTGAGAAGACTGACAGTGTCATTCTGAAAATTCCATAAGTTATTAGTAGCAACTGATATGATGGTGTTTTATAACAACCTATTTCCTAGGTCACTTGACTTAACTGGGCCACTGTTGCTTGGAGGTGTTCCTGACTTGCCTGAGGACTTCCCAGTGCAGAACAGGCATTATATTGGCTGCATGAGGAATTTAACGATCGACAGCAAACCCATAGACTTGGCTAGTTATATAGCCAACAATGGCACCCTAGCAGGTACTTGATGCACCATTTTTTTTAAAATATTTTATTGCATTGTTTCTATATAAAAATAAAAAAACTGACACATTCACTGAAAAATATAGAATGAATGAGCCGTAGAGAAAGGAAGCAACCATTTTGCATTTTTTAGAATTGTTTTTAATTTATCTTTTAAATAAAGCTGCACCCATTTGGGATTAGAGGCTGAAATTAAATGAAATGTCATGGTAACATGGGCATAAGCTAATATTTTATATGCAGTGACTAAGAAGCATACCCTTCACTTGGGCTACACTCATGGCAGTGCTTTTAATTACAACCTAAAATCTGCTTTTTAGTTACATATTGCAAATATTATAATATAATAATGATAATTTTTCACATGTTTGATATGTCTCTCAAATTTTCTACATACTGTATATTTTTCCCCTGGATTTGGAGCTGCTAGTGATCAAATTACACCTGAAAAACATCAGCAGCTATAGACATTTTTATTTTGTACAATTGATATGCATTAATATGGGTTTCCATTGTTGGATTAAAGGTTGTCCTGCAAAGAGGAATTTCTGTGACACCAGTGTTTGTCAGAATGGAGGCACATGTGTTAACAAGTGGAACACCCACTACTGTGACTGTCCTTTACGTTTTGGAGGGAAAAACTGTGAGCATGGTAAGTCAAAGCACATTCATAACTGCTGCTTAATTTTATAAGTAGACATTTTATGTTACTGATTTACTTTGGCCAACTTAAAACCGCAGAATTGCACAAATCTTTTTTCATCTTGTTTTCATACTGAGTCCTAGGGGGTGATTTACTAACCTAAACACACGCACGCACTAGGTGCGTGTGATTTTTACACAGCAAAACGTATTTATCAACCAAAAAGTCTCTAAAAGCATATTTCCACTAATGCCATATATGGAAAAATCATGCACATGATGCATATATAATGCTGCTTCACAGTTTAGACAAAAATGGTTAGCTCATGCATTTACATTCCTGCATTCATCAACGCAAGCAACACAACATAGAGCTAATTTACACAACATCACCTTGCAAATTCATGCAGAGCTTTGCACAACACACCTGGTGGGTGTGCACACACTACAAAGGTGTTTAGATTCCACCCATAGATCATGCTGGGAGGGAGCACACTACAGAGGTGTATACATGTTCGTGGTGTGTTTATAAGGTTAGTAAATCACCCCCCTAAAGTTAGTTTGTCTTGCTAATTAACAAAACATAGAATTTGCATGTTTTAGATTTTTTAAGAAATGTGTTGTTTTTTGTGCACATAGTAATGATGTCACATGGGTTTATTATTAGTAAGGGAAGTAAATACTATTTAAAGCAGAACTCCAGGGAAAGAAAATTCTTAACCCCTGCAGTGGGGCTGCTTTTTTTTAACCTAGACACAAACTAGCACTTGAACCTTGAAGTGGGGCTACCCATGCACTGCAAGAGTTAAGTGCTCGTTTGTGTCTAGGTTTAAAAAAAAGTTATACTCGCCAAATCCATGGATCCAGCTGGCGGGGCCAGCATTCCCACCTGCCTCTATCCTCCTCCGCTGCAGCAACAGTATGTCACTCAGCATCCTCACATCCTATACACAGTGTATTGGTCGTGCTGATTTATGGGACCTTAGACCGCTTCAGCGGAGGGGAAGAGAGGCTCCGTGGACCAGTTTAAGGGCAAGCCGGCTTGGAGATCTGGTGGGTGTAACCCCCTTTTTTCTTTTTTTGTTCTTTATAACCTAGACATAAACAAGCACTTAACCCTTGCAGTGGGTCTACCCCAGAATTTTTCACCCCAGAGTTCTTTATGTTGATAGTCAAATCTTACACATTCTATTTGCTTTTGAAAACTAAAATATAAGTGGTTCCTAAACTGTAATGGTAATAAGAATGATTGAAAAGGGAGAACAGAACACAGTTCCACTGGTAAGAATGTATTATATAGCGTGCATCATTTTACCAGAAATAAATTAGGTACAAAGCACACTAGAGAACATAGTCGCTCCAAATAATGGCATTCATGTGAGCAGGGGAATTCATATAGTAAATGTTTATCACGTCAGGCAGTAAGGTAGATTGTGATTTGCTGTATTCAAATAACATTGTTTACATTTTTTTTTAGTTGGCCATTTTTAGCATGCCATAGCCAATTACTGCATGTCATAAAACCTTTTTTTCAATTTCACTCCTAAATTATGTTCAAATAAATCTAATCTGTATTATGTTAGGAAAAATAGAGTGGTATAGTTTGGAATGTATCCCTATAACCTTATCCTTGCCTTTTCAGCTTTGCCATTTCCACAACGTTTTCAAGGAGATGGGATTGTTATATTGGCTGATATAGAAATCACAATGTCTGTGCCATGGTTTATCGGGCTGATGTTCAGAACCCGTCAAGCTAGTGGCATGTTGATGCAGGCTAATGCAGGGTCTTCTAGGATTAATATCCAGGTAAGTATCTAGATTTTTCCATGTAGATAAACAGCAATGCTTAGCAAAAGTTCCATAAACAATGCCTCAGACAAAGAAATCCACATCCCATTCTGGGCACAGGAGCAACTTTAGCATTAGCATTGATACCAGAAAATTACTTATTTTTTCAATTCAAGGTCACTGTCCTGAGATAATGATTTTTATACATGTACAAAATCAGAAGCCACCAAAGAATATAAACCTCAAAAATTAGCCTGCTCATGACAAATAATCTGTGTGGCTATGACTAACTAAATTGCTGTAGTAGTTTTGTGGTCTTTGAGCTTTTTATTTATTGAAATGAACTGTATGTAAACCTCTGTAAACATAAAAGGACAACATTATCATTTTAAAGTTCTTTAGAAATTTCAGTTTAGCATGCTTGAATAGTCATTAATTACGTATAATGAAGTATGCTGTAAGTTCATACAGCTAGCTATACAGTTAGATGTTGTAGTGCTTTTTATGTTGAACAGCTTCGGAAAACATGTGAAGTCTGTGTAAAGAAGTGCTGCACTGATTAGTTTCCAAGGTTGGCAACTATTTTTTCAAAAAGTGATGGCCTACGTTTGTTCTTTCTTGCAAACATTCTGGGGCTGATATTTGTTTTATAGTCGGCACTAAAGTGATCCAATGTGAATACTTGACCTGAGAAGCACCTTCCTTCGCATTATTTTTTTATTTTTTTTAATGAATCTAATTCTGATTGATCTTTAACCATGGCTTTGCAATATTATACTAAACATAAAGTCACTGCCATATATTTATTTTAAAATAGGTGGTAAACAATCACATTCAGTTTGAAGTGTACAGTGGTTTCAGCCATGTAGCTAGTATGAAAATCCATCAGACCCGAGTCACTGATGGCGAATGGCACCACCTACTCATAGAACTGAAAAGCTCTAAGGACGGAAAGGACATCAAGTATCTGGCCATTATGTATCTGGACTATGGAATTTATCAGGTAAACCATAAGAATTCTACTGTGACACTCTTTTGACCATAGTATTGTTTTAGCTTGTGCATTTATTTTGTGCACTTCTGTATATGCCTTATATTGTTTGACATACTGTAGACGCCGCAGCTCAGGGACAGTTTAGAAATACCTTTGAAATACTCAGAAATACTTTTTTTTGGGCAGATGTTTTGCTAACATAATTGTTCTTACTGAATCAACAGAACTCTGTGGAAATTGGTAACGATCTGCCAGGGTTAAAACTGAAAACCATCTTTGTTGGTGGTTTGTCTGAATCTAAAGGCTTCATAACACAAGGATTTAATGGTTGTATGAAGGTGAGTATAATACAAAGGAAAATTTAACATACTGCTGGCCCAAGGCATTCTTCATTACATGGCTCCCTTGTATTCATGACCACTAGCTAGTACTTGTGGAATCCTGTAATCTAAAATAATTTTCAAAATGTTCCTGTTTTTATTAAGAATGCAGCAGACTTTTCATAACAGTCCTACTCTATTCTCAAATAAACAACTAAATTATAAGGATTGCATGGACATTTTTATATAGTTCAACACCACATTTATCATTTACAGTGTGGTACTATTTCAGAAAACGGCTGTACTAGGATATTTTGTCATTCTATTTGAGCTTCATTGTCATAATTGTGCATTTTATAGAGTGTTCTATAGATGTCATTTATCTGACAGTAAAATCTGTGTCTCTTCATGTTACCTGGCAGTCCAGTGAGAAAAGGTAAGGGTGGAATTAACCTCATGTGTTCTGTGTTTATCCTGTCTACATTTCATTCTGTAAGAGAAATGGGACTGTCAGTCATTCTTTACTTGCAAAGCTACACCCCTTTTAAGTAGACAATGTTATGAACAAAAGCCTGCCTTTTTCCCAAGCTAATTAGTGGTAAGACAATTATGAGACTATAGTTGGCGTTGGTATTTCTTCAGCTTTCTCATTTTGCTTCACTGAATTATTTTCACATTTCACTTTGTTACAATGAGCTTTATCCAGTAAGTCAAAGAACAATGTGCAGAGTACAGTGGCCCATAACAACTAATAAGCATTTATCTCTTACAGATTATTGCTGTGGGTAACTACTCTTCCTTGCTCTCTGCCTTGTGTTATTAAATATTGTGTTATTAAATAAACCCATAAAAAACCCCTCAATTATCAGTATTGGTATATACATTACACACAGGCATTAGACAGCAATTGGATGTTGGGAAGCAATGCATTAACCAAAAGGTCTTTTTTCTCCAATTATATGCAGAAATGCATACTAACATCTTATGAGTGCATGCTTGTGAGCCCCTGGAACTGCCCTTCCCACAGAGGGGATAGTAGACTACTTGTGCCTCTTACACTGCCAATGATATCTGCTAGAGTTACCATTTAATGTGCAATGATGACATTTTTAAAAGCCCCCAACCCTATATACAGTACATACAAATGCACGACTCATTAGGTATTGCTGCCCATGCCGGACTTAAAGCAATAATTCTAGGACCAATTATCACATTTAACTCTAAATTCATGACCTGTAAAGGCTTTTAAGTCATCGCCTTTGGGCAAGTTTGGGTATTATTATTATTTAGCGCCAACAGTTTGCACAGCACTTTACAAAATGGGGGAGACAGTACAATTACTATACAATTGGCAATCCAATTTCAGTACAATAGGGTTAGGAGGGCCCTGCTCATGAGAGCTTACAATCTAGTAGTAGGGTACTGTAGTGTTTTGCTGTTTCCTGTGTACATTTGACATATTTAGTATCTATTTACCCAACACATTCACTTTTTATTTTGTAATATTACCAAAAAATGGGCATTAAGATTATTTTAAGTGCATCTTTCACTGAAAATATATATTTGATGAAAGCACAAAGATCATGTGACATACAAAATTGCAACTGCCACCATTGTATTCCCCAGGGTCTCTGCTTTCAGTATATAGTATTAACAGGGCCGGTGCAAGGATTTTTGCCAACTCAGGCGAAGGTGCATTTTGTCGCCCAAGTATTAAGTATTCAGTATTTCATTAAGTATATAATGTTTAATGGTTTTAAGTGATCTTCAAGCCTGTTTTTTAAAATATGTGCAAAAAATGTGTGCAATGGCTTAAAGAAATAATATAGGTGACCTGGTTATTGTAAGATCGTGCTGAATGCTCTAAAATATAATACCCACCTAAATGTGTATTAAAGCCAATGGTTTGATATTGCCAGCATTTATCTTCTCCTAGCTGCTAAACAAGTTGTCAGACTGCTAATCTATTATTAATAAATAGCATTGGTTCCACCTTCTAGTACATGCATGTGGAGTGGAACGCTCTTACAAGGAGGTTTAGTGTTTTATGGGGCAGCTGTAACTATCAAAACACTTTTCTTATCACAACTGTGCTATGCCACATAAGGAAGGTTTTAAAATGTATTATTATGGGGAGGAACACTCCTTGGTAGGCTAGTTTAAAACCCAAATGACCAGATAGGAGCCATATGCTAAAACAGGCAGGCATTTGCACTGGTGTGCTGTATGTTCTGTTTTTGTGACTTGCTATAAAACATCACTGGATATATCCATTGTTGGAACTCTTCACTCATTTCAGTCATAAAATTCACAATGTCGCCATCATAATATGATTGGCAAAGAGAGAGACTTTTCATGTCATGTTCACACACATGTAACTGGGATGTTTCCATGCCATCAGGGAGTAAGAATGGGAGAAACATCAACCAACACAGGAACCCTAAACATGAATAAAGCAAGTGCCATCAATGTGGAAAGTGGCTGCGAAGTAGATAATCCCTGTGATTCAAATCTATGCCCATACCACAGTGACTGCAGTGATGAGTGGAACAGCTTTTCTTGTATTTGTGAACCAGGTAAGAGTTCATTACACTTTCACATTAAACAATGGTCTAATTTCCTACCCCTTCCACACATGAAGTCAAAGACAGGTATAATGTATGTGTTTAGTGGGTAGATTTAATTCCAGTTTCCACTGGAACAGATGTGCCTCTAAGCAAGTAATCTGCAAACATTTACCTACTTTAAAGTAATTTTCTATAACTATAAGTGGCCACTTCTAAGTTATAATTTTTTAAATGTCATAGTCATCAAGAGATTTAATGTAAATGTATTGTAACTAATAGTAAGTAGACGTGTTTTTCATTAGTCTAGAATGCTTTAAACCAATGTTTCTAGACCTCTTTTCAAATGAATTAAAGGCTGACCATACACCTATACGTGTATGGCCACCAATAGGTGGCCATACACCTATACATTTTTTTTTGTTCAACCTGTGGGCTGAACGACAAAAATTGACCAGATCCCTTCATCAACACAAACAGCATGTCGATCGAGGAATCCCACAGTTTACATTGTGTTCTGACAGGTTCCACCGCCCCTGTCAGAGTCCCCCGATCTGGTCGATCGAAAATGTTCCAGCCAGCTCCTTCGATTAGCTGATCGAGGAATTCCGGCTGGAAAGGATACAAAAGTCCCACACACTGTGAGAATTTCGGACAGTACATTAAAAACAGGCCAAAATTCAACCAGTGTATGGGCACCTTTAAGATGATTACTGTGCTTCTGTTTTAGAATGCTCATTTTTTTCCATTTCACAGACCTTTACAATGCGATTTTTAATACACTCCACAGGTTCCAGTCTGAAGTCTCCATGTGTGGGATTTAAACATCTGCTTTAGACTGAAAAAAATGAATGCTACAGTTGACCTTTAAAATTGCATAATGTGAAAATATGTACTTACTAATAGTAGCCGTCACTGACTGGCTATTCTTTTTGCCTTTGGATCACATTTTAATCAAAACGATATGGAACAAAACCAGGCTATATGGTCATGAGCCATGACATGTACACAATTTACAGCCTTCTCTTTTATGTCCCATAAAACATGTGACATTAATCTGTTTATTGATCAAGTTATTTTGAAAGCTGTCAATGTTTGATGTGGCATCAGCCCAGTAGCACATGAAACTAAATCCTCTTCTTTCCTCCAGGCTTCTTTGGGAGAGACTGTGTTGATGTGTGCAGCCTGAACCCTTGTGAGCATGTTTCTACTTGTGCTAAAAAGCCGAGCTCTTCTCATGGATACACTTGTGAATGCGGAGCAAGTTACTATGGACAATACTGTGAGAACAAGTAAGGAGATCTTATTGAAGGCAACTGTGTATTGCTCCAGCAAGAATTCTTACTACAGTGACACAAATTATTAAATTGCCCTGTGCTGCCTTGCCCTTGCTTTGATGAGTGATAGCACTGGTCTTCAGGATGCCAGAGACAAGTGCTGTCACCTACACTTAATTATATATTTGTCTCCTTGCTAGCCACATGGTTGGATACCAGTAGGGAAAGAAGAGGGGCAAGCTGTCTAACTACGCTGCGTACAGTACGGATCAGAACGGGACCAAGTGATACATGCACTTGGTCCCCTGGGGGATTAAAATGATTAAGTGATATTTCTTCTTTAATGAAGTGCATTACTGTCTACAAGATACTTTCTGTTATTTCTTTACTTTTATGCAATATCAGAAATTCAACCAGCAGAAAGATTGGATAGTTTACCTATAAATTAGAGAAAATTTAGGAGTATACGAATTCTAAGAGGGAAAAAAAAGGGGGAGGAACAAAAAAGGGAAGCATGCAATGGAAAAAAAAAGTGAACCTGTTTTTAAAGAAAAGGTTTTAAGCTTGATCTGTAAAGCTTTTGTTGGACTTTGTTAGTGGAGCCTGTGAAGCTAAAGGGCTATCCATTGTTTTATTGTCATAAAAGTGTATCTAAAGCCAAAGTTATCTTTTTTTAGTTAGAGTAGTAAGGGGTCAGAACCCCCTGTCAGATTTTTATTGCTGTCTGTGTTACTGCTAGGGACATTCTCTATTTGTCTTGGTGGCCACTGTCATTGGGACTACAAGTGCAGGAAAAGCCTAAATGTACAGTGGTTACCAGAACATGAATATAGGGAATTTCTACTTAAGTTTTAGTGACAACTGTCTAAGGTTTACTTACTTCGGAAAGATTTCCTTTCACTTCCAGTTGTGTATACAGGACAGGACATAAAGGGGAATCTTCCACATGGGGCACAAAATAAAAAGCTTGACTTTTCATATACTTTAACTTTTGACAGTCATATGGCCAGTGATGGCTCAGTAGATTGTTCCCAAAGGACAGAATTGTGGGTGCAGGATGCAATTTTAAAATGAGTGAGAACAACCAGAATCTGAAAATCTCTGTACATCCTTGGCAGATATATATCCTTGTCAATTTCTTGATCTCTGTTTGTAGCTAGCAGGATTTTGGCTTCAAAATTATTTTTAGCAACTCCACCCTTTTTAACGGACCAGATATATTCAAACTAAATAGATGTCTTTCCTTTAAGAAACGTACCTGCTGACTTTGTTACACCATGTTTAAATCTGATCTAATATGGTCCCACTGGGTAGAAGTGTTGTGCCCTGGTAACACTTAATATGAAAGGTTTGGTATTATAATCTGTAATCTGTGCCATAATATGGGTTACTACTGTGTATTGATGTTCATAAACTCCAGTTATAACTTTTTATGCATACTGTAGTTAGATTGGTCCTGTTCGGCCCAATATAAGTATGTATATGTCTTATTTTAGCGTCCCAGGTACACCCCAATACTTTACACGATCCTCGTGGGTCACTCAGGCATAACATATGCATACTTAGATTGGTCCAGCTTGGCCCATTCTAAGTATGCATAAAAACTTATACTGGGAGAACAGCTTTAATATCCCTGGATGCACAGTGTCTGATGTTGAGCTGTATGTGACATTTCGTATCCTTAAGTTTTGTTTGACCTGTGGTTTCTGTGTATGTATCGTCTTACAAAAATAAACTTAATCTCATTTTTTTTTAAAAAGTAAATCTTTGAATTTTTGAGTTTTTTTTTTTAAATCCAGTTAAAAATTACTTTGCTTTATCTTCAACAGAGTGGATTTGCCCTGTCCTAGAGGCTGGTGGGGCAATCCAATTTGTGGACCCTGTAACTGTGATGTGAGCAAAGGCTTTGATCCAGACTGCAATAAGACAAGTGGAGAGTGCCGCTGCAAAGTAAGTTCTTGTCACTCATGTTAAGATGCACATATTTAAAAAGATAACATACAATTCTTGCTGCATCAGAGGAATGTTCAAATGTATTTATGAAAACATTCTGCTATGTTCTGCATTTGATCTTTTTTTATAATATAATGTGATAAATAATGGTGTTAAGTGAAGAAGTCTGAATTCAACTTTCAGCAATTTATAGAAGGCTGTCTCTAAAAAAAACTTTGTTGTGATTGATTGGTTGGCATGGATCATGTACACAGATTATTCCTTGGGTGAGTGAGGCACATACGACACAAAAGTAATACTAGAAGATGACATTAAACAAAATATTCTTATAGGTGTTAGACACCACAGAAATTAAATGGATAGGCAGTATTTGGACCTTATTCAGATATAATATAACTCTACATTACACCTACATATCTGTGCATATGCTTTGAACTGAAAATACTTTGATTTACCTCTCACATTATTTAACATTCAGGGCTAATGCACTAATCATGATTTTGAGTGTCCTTTCTAATTACTTAGAATATATATTTGTTATATGTTTTGCATTTAAAGTAATACAATTATTTGTATTTAATTGTATTTATTGGTTTATTCATTTTTATTTTGCATAAAACTGGTTTAATTTATCTAATTACAGGATAATTATTATAGACCACAGGAGAGTGACACTTGTTACCCATGTGACTGCTTTCCATCTGGCGCTTATGAGCGTGGCTGTGACATGGAGACAGGACAGTGCCCATGTAAAGCTGGTGTTATTGGCCGCCAGTGTAACCGTTGTGACAATCCTTTTGCGCAGGTTACTAATCAAGGCTGTGAAGGTAATGACTTGAAATATAATGTGAATAAAGCCTAGTAATAGGAATGAATAAATGTTGTAATCACCACTATTTTAATGCAGTACATTGCAGCGTTATTTTAGTGTATGATCCCATAAGCATCCAGCACATCATGTTTTTAAGGCTATGTTCACACCATGTCTGGACAAGAACTGAAACAGATCTGCATACGCAGCGCAGTGCATTTTTGCCGCAATTTGTACCTCGTTTTTTATTTAGATTAAATGGGCTTTCAGGTGCGTCCCACTGTGTTTGGATGCATTTTGATGCATTTCCATGCGTTCCAGTGCATTCTAGACCAGAGAAAAAGAGACGAGCAGTATTTTTTTTTGGCTGGGCCGGAATGGACTCCACTTGTGTGAACAAAGCCCAGATATACCATAGGGATAGATTGGGATGCTTTTTTCAGTCCAGGAACAAACTGTTCTGGTCTGGACATGGTTCTGGACTTGGTGTGAACAAGCTCTGAGTGTTGCTCTAGGGAAGTGACCATAGAGGAAGCAAGGCAGATCAAAGGCAAGCATGGACCAAACATTGCATCCGATAATTGGGATTGTGCGTATCAGTACAATATTTTGACAGTTTGGGGTTGCTTGACAGGTTTCAACAACACGCATCTCTGTGAGCATATCCAAAGAGCTGCATAGTTCCAATTGCACATGAGAATTAACAATGTATGATCACTTTTTCTCCTGTGGTAGAAGAACGCAAACTGAACCTGTGCATTAGTGGGCGGAGGTCCATATAAAAGATAACATGGTTGGATAAATTCTGTTTTGTTTTTTTTTAAATCTCCCATGACAAGTGTAAATAGAACGGAAAAAAACCATATAAGGGTAATATAAATGGAAAATGGCTGATATTGAGCTATATTTCCCATCTGAATGCATTTTTTTTTTCATCTAAGTTAACACAATTTGATCTTTAACAGTTATTAAGTTGAAAATGCAATTACTGGTGATGGCAGCTTTATACTGTCACCCGGTTTTTATAAAGCAAGTTCTGGTTGAGTTGCTGTGGATTAATGCACTCTTCCCTTAACTCTTTATATTACTAAACTAGCCTATTCATTTTATTGTGCGTCAAACCTACTGGCTTTGTTTATTTTTTACCTTGAATAGATACTTGTTATAGTAAGGTCAACAGACTGGACTTTTCTGCAGATAAATTGATTGTATTAAAAAAAAGGCATGATGAATGAAGAATAGTATTTAAAATAAGTCCGCAAATTGACATTGTCAGGATGTGTTGTTAGTAGGTTGTGTCACGGCCTTTTCCATAGGATTACCCTCTATTCTGCTGCCAACATCTGAAAAGAAAGGAAGTCATGACCCATATGTGTTTCCATTAGCTGTGTTCCTCTAAATCACTGGAAGCAAGTTCTGGTTTTGTTCTTTCTAAACCTGGTTGGCACAGGATGAGTCGGAAGGGAACAGCTGCAGACACCGTGACATTTTTATTACTGTTGGCTACAGACCTGTTAGGTGACAGGAACCTAAACGATTTTCTACTTTAAGAGAATGTTTTCTCTTTCCATCATTGTTGTTCTGTATAATAGAACCTGCCAGTTTACAGGCACTGCCATGTGGTCGTTATTTCACATAGCCAGTATTTTCATGTTTCATTGTTTTGCTATATAAATTGCAAGTTATTAATTATTTAGGGTGAGATTTACATCTGTCAATCATAAACATTGCTCGGTAATGTGTCAGTAATTGTTTTTCTCCCTTCACTCACTGCAGTGATTTACAATGGATGTCCCAAAGCCTTCGAGGCTGGAATCTGGTGGCCACAGACCAAGTTTGGTCAACCAGCTGCTGTTCCATGCCCTAAGGGATCTGTGGGTAAGTGAAACAACGAAAACTTATATGCAAGAAACATACAGTAACATAGAAATGCCCAGAGGGCCACTTGAAATATGTACAGACAGCACAGATTGTGCATATGAAATGTGTCACGCTGATCCTGCACTTTTTTCCATGTCTTGCTTATGTTGCAAATGTATGGATCACAGTGTGCCTTAAACAATCTAGTTCTTTTTTTTTTTTTATTTGGCCAATGTACAGTTTAGGCCGATTGGTTGACACTGAGTGACACTAAACTCTGGAGGTAAATCTTAAAAATGCATTCAAGTACTTTATTAACAAAAATGTATCTTATTTGTGTATCTCTCGGCTATAGATCCTTGATTCATCTCTAAATTCATGCTGACACTGTCCTTACTTCTGGAGGGTGGCTACTTTTGTTCCCCATGGTCCCCGTGTGTATTGTACAGTAGCCACCGCTCCAAGCTCACGCTTGTAATAGACTACCATCATGGGAGCGAGCTTGGAGCAGTGGCTACTTTACAACACACAAGGGGACCTTTGGCAACAAAACTAGCCACCCTCCAGAAGAAAGGACAGTGCCAGCATGAATTCAGAAATGATTGTCCCAGAGTACTGCCCGTCTACTCTTCTGGGTGCTGCTGTAAAGGGCATTGCAAGATGCTGAGAGCTGAGAGCAAATTGAATTTACTTATTAACATTAGTTTCATTTAAAGATCATAAATACATAACTGTATTGCTTGGTGTTTTTATGTGCTTGGAATTTGGCTAAAACTAACATACTGTATATAAAGGCACTCCTAGTAACTTTCACAGCATTGTGTAAAAAACAGCAGAGCGATAGATATTTGTCTTTTCGTTAACGTTGTCCGGCAGCCTTTTGTTCTTTGTTAGCTGCCTTTTTATGAGTTATAAGTTACATTGGACAAGATAACAACCAACGGGTTTACTGGAACCCTTTGTAGGATCCCTAGGCAAGAGTTGTGTTTTGGAAAATGTTTTCCCACTGTGTCACCTTCACTTAGAACATTCTTAGTTCTCAAAAGTTCCTGCAACATTTTCTTATGTATACATAAATGTTATAAAAGCTATTTTACATAAACCAGCTTGCTAGTTTTCTGATTTCTGTGTCAGACAGTAGCTTGAGTTTATCTCGGGGAGTACACCACAATAAGAAACATGTATATTCATGAGGTAAAGATGGTATGTTTAGGCTTGAGACCTTGAGATTTTTCTCAGCATGTTTCTGTTACATTATTAATGCCAGCCACGTCTGCTTGGAAGCTATCCGATGCATATGTAGCATCCACTTACTGGATCTCACTGGCCTTAAAGGTCAGCTGTCAGTCTTCTTCCAGCCCCTGGCAGTAGCGCTATGTTGTATTACAATGCATTTTAAATATTTTACCTAATTTCAGACATGATAAAAATGTATTCCCAAATCTAAGAAGCACCCAATATATTTGTAGGCCATATGTAAGAGTAATTTGTTGTAAAAAAAACAACATTGTTTTAAGCCTCCAGCTTTTTGTATTCTACAGTTATCCCTTATACAATTTAACACTGATGCTAGTTCAATTTAAGGTAGGCACATAAAGCTAGACAATAAATTATTTACACTGTGAGTCATACCCCACTCTGGTCAAACAATTCATTTCCCAAGTGGCACAGTGGGTACAATGGGTATGCCATTATTGTGTAAATCTTTGTTCTACGACAGGTGATAACTATTGATGCATAGTAAACAAATTTGGCTGCAGGTTTTGCAAGACTCTTTGGTCGGCTTAACTGATAACAAATACGAATTCTATAGGTATAGAAAAAAAAAAAGTCACATAAAGTAAAAAGCATTTGTATGCTTTATATATATTATTATATTGTATGTCGTAATAATCTAGGTTTACAGATGGGAGGGAATTACTCAAGTGTAAAGCTGAGCACAAATGACAATATATCCCCCCAGGAATGATGAGCGGGGAGATAGCTGTCTGTTAATAAACAATTTGCTGGAGCACTGTGACCATACCTTGGTCCTCAGCATAAGGCAGATCTTCAAGTGTGATTCAGCTCATCCTTTCCTCTTTTGTATAGAAGAATACAGGATTGGGTCCCACGTATACAGAAGTTTTCCACTGGGGTACAAAATGTCTGTGGCAATAACAAGTGCCTTCATGAGCCAGAGGTGCATGTTCTTGACCTTGGGAAGGCCAGTAACAGCCTGGTGATTACAAGTGATGCTCATATTGAGAGCATGGCTTCTTTTAATGGGCTGTTTTTAGCAATGCCTGACATATATACAATACAGTATCGGCAAGCAGTGGCACATATTTGAGTTGTTCATTCTCTTCTCCATATAAAGGGACACATTTAAGTCATACTTGCCACCAATTCATAAAAGCAAAGTGTCCCTGCATTGTAGAAATCAAATATCCTATGCAAATAGTGCCTATGGAAATAGTCAGTATTTAAATGAAACTAGGTTTGCCCCACTGCCTCTGTTGTATCATTGCTCAAGCTTGGTGCTACGTCAGTCAGGCTGCTAGCACAGAATTGTAGGATGGGGGAGAAAGTGTGCACATTTGTACTTTACCCAGAAGTTTTTTTATGGGCCTAACCCAGTACATTTATATTGAAGATAAATTGTGGCATTGAAGAATGCCTCCGATGTATCTGAGGGGTCACTTTTTATGAGCATGTGATTGGTGTGTCTTAATGCTGCTTTATAACTCAGCCATCACTGATGATTAAATCTTGTAGTCATCTTTGAGATCTTCCCATCTAAGACCAGACTATGCTATATATCAAATCAGTGGATCAATGTTCTCTTCAACACTCCAAGTGGATTAAGGAGGAATGTTAATTTTTTTTTCATGAAATCATTTGGTTATATTGGTATCTCTTTTTCTTGACTGTATCTGTAAAGTAACTATGGGTTTAATGGTCTGTAGAAAAGGGGATGCTTCATTTCATTTTTTTCATGATAACGTTTTGTTTTTTTTTAAGTTCCCAACTCTGGCTTCTGTGATGGCAGCTATCTAAAATTATAATTCTTTTTGATGGTATACAATCCTTAAAATGTATAGAAGTTGGTCTGGTTTAGGTACAGTAGCTTTGCACTTGTACTCCTATTTAGGTCACACATAAAACATGAGGACATCCCAGAAGGCTCCAGGCTTACATAAAAGTGACTTGGCAGATCATTGATACATTCCACCAGGTCTGTGTTAGAAAGACCCATACAATTAGTTAAATGTAAATCACTGTGAGACACATTCCTGCACAGACAGGGTACATAGGCTCAAGCTGAATTAGGAGACTATTTACTACCTTTTAAGATGTCAAAATATCCAGTATTTGACTTTGCATCTTTAATCATGTGCTTTTATAACCCCTGATTGTACCTGATAGAGGTTAGCTAATCATTTTGTGTAGAAGTATTGAAAACCGTTCCTGCATGAATTCTCCCTCTGCTCTTTATTTGTGACATTTGCTCTGTAAAATGCATGCTTCTATTCCACTCTGAAGAGGGAGAGACATTGCTATTGTATTGTGATCAGACACACAATGGTGTTTTGTAGTCACTGGCACCAGTACAAGTTTCAGGTGTACATTTTATGTTTTGGTCTTTTAAATTCATGACATATAAATAAAGAGGTGCATGTTATTACAACCTGCTGTAATATATACTGGAGGAAAAGGTTTACAAGTACATAATCAGCTGTGAGAAAGGGACAGCTGAGGTGTATTTGCCTTCCACATACATGGGTACAGCAGAGAACAGTATACATACAGAGTGGGGAATTTTAACATCATCTTCCATGTAAAAGTCCTTCATAAACCTTTTAAATCACAGGTGCACCATACAAAAATATACTGTATCTTTACATACAAAACTAATTTGTGGAGTATGACGTATGTAAAAATAATAAGCATGGCTGTGATGACATGTGATTGATGTTTACATGCATTTGTTTTCTGTAGGCAATGCGATCCGTCACTGCAGTGAGGAAAAAGGCTGGCTTCCTCCTGAACTCTTCAACTGCACCACACTGACCTTCTTGGAACTGAAAACTCTGGTAAGAGCATTACTGAGCTGCCCAAACACAGGATCCATTTTAACATCACAGGCTCACTCTCTTTGCTGCTCAGAACACACATTACAGAGCTAAGGTGCATCAGATTCCACAAAGTGCAACTAACAAAATGGAGACTATTGTGTATTTTACTGGAGAAGAGGGATTATTCTTTTCTGACATGCACACATGTGATATAATAAGGGCAGGAAACCTAATGCAGCTTTTCCTTGAATGCTCTGGCAACCAATAGAAGTAAAACTAATGCTTCAGCAGCTATTGATGGACATTTATGCCCAAGTATGCCCTTCCATATTACATCTTAGACAATATTGCCATGTAACATTTTCCATTTAACGTCTTTTTAAGTAAACCTGCAATGCAACTTGCAATTTACTTGATTGGGAGATCAGCAATGAAAGCCTCCAAGTTTCTTTGGGAATCTCCTGACTGGTGAAAAATAAGCAAGGATAACGAAACTATTTACTTTATATCTATGTTAAAAAAAAAAACCAGGAAAAAAAAGCTTAAGAAATGAACTAACTAACCTAAGGATTCTAGTTAATAATGTTTTTGCATGACTTGCACCCAAGATTTGAACATTTTTCATTAGATTTAGCTGGAAAATGTGTGATTTCTGAGTGAAAGTTATGTAGATCTTGTGTAATAAAATTATAAATGAACCACTAAGTATTGTCTGCAGCAACCAATTAAATGTCAGCAACATAGCAAATAAATGGCAGAATATTTATGTATATAATATATCCACTGCTTACTTCAAAGGTGGGTTGTTACAGAGGCTTGGATTCCATGTGTTGGATGACCTGATAGACCAATCTGAGTCTGCGACTGTGCAATAACAGATACGCTGTAAAGTGATTCTTATTCTTTTTCTGATATTTTGAAGCATGTGTACTCAGCTCTACAAACACGCTTTGCTAATGAATGTCAGGAATCCTGTGCTTGTCTACTCTTCTAGCTCTTATATTGCACAACACCCATACATTTTGTGGTATGCCTACAAGTATTTGTACAGGTAATGTCAGCATTATGATGGCTGCTTCTGCACAGCTTTCAGAAAAACAACATGAAAGTAACACAAAGCTGTTAATTAGATCATGTTATGAGTTGCATGTATGATCATGTGTTTCTAGCTATGTGTTATAGTCCTTTATGAATAACAAAGCTGGAAATCATATAATGACGATCTTGTCTTAATTTGTTCTGCAGAATGAAAAGCTTCACCGAAATGAGACCAGTTTGGATGGTGCCAAGTCCATTGAAATCGCTAGAGTCCTGCAAAATGCCACCAACCACACAAGGACCTTCTATGGCAATGACATCAGAACTAGCTATCAGATGCTTGTGAGGGTGCTTCAGTATGAGAGTCAGAAACAAGGCTTTGACTTGGCAGCTACAAGGGATGTGGAGTTTAATGAGGTATGTTTTTTTTGACTGTGTGCTGATCTACTAAGGACATGTACACATATCTTTTAGTAAAATGTTGAATGCAGATATGCTAAGTGGTGGCTAATCAACCTGTTAGTAAAAGGACACACAGAAGTTCAGATAAGCAAGTAAAAGAAACTGTGAACGCTGTTGTAAATGTAGTAGCCAAACATTTTATCAAAGAGTGAACTATTAAGTCTCAAAGCTTAAAATGACACTGAATTCAGGAGTTATACCTCAAAAATACATTCAAGTACCCTAACAATTACCAAAAATGTAGCTTATTTGTGCATCACTCAGCTGTAGGTCCTCAATTCATGCTGACGCTGTCCTTCCTTCTGGAGGGTGGCCACTTTTGTTGTGGCTACTGTGGGTGATGTAACGTAAGCCACCGCTCCAAGCTCACTCCTGTAGTGATCTACAATCTCAGGTTTAGTTTACTAATTTCTATTAAGATTATAGTCCATCACTGGAGTGAGCTTGGAGCGGTGGCTACTTTAAAACACACACAGACCATGGGGAACAAAAGTAGCCACCCTCCAGAAGGAAGGACAGTGTCAGCATGTATTCAGAGATGATTTGAGGATCTACAGCCGAGTGACACACAAATAAGCTACATTTTTGTTAATAGTTAAGGTACTTGAATGCATTTTTAAGATGAAACTCCGGAGTTTATTGTCACTTTAATTCCAGCCAGCTTTCCAGATTTCCTTTCTTTCGGAGTGGCAAAGGATGAGAATCTGTCTTCTCTATTCATTGCAGTCTGTGGCTTATGGTCCTGGCAGCACCTATTCTCATAATTTCTTCTCCAGGTGTCACAGAGACAGAACATGACAGGCTGAAATTCTAACTTCTCCACTCAATTCAAAATTGCCTTGAGCTGTGTTCTAATATATCCACTCAAGTTTCTAAAATAAGTAAGGCAGGAGCATATGTTTGGAAATTAATTTGTATCCAGAAGAGGTATTGCACCTCAAATGTGGCAAGTGTATTAGGGATAATAAGAGAAAATATTATTTTGGACCAGGAGACATTGGGGTTGATTTACTAACCTTATAAACACACCACGGACATGTATACACCTCTGTAGTGTGTTCCCTCCCAGCATGATCTATGGGTGGAATCTAAACACCTTTGTAGTGTGTACACACCCAGCAGGTGTGTTGTGCAAAGCCCTGCCCTGAATTGCAAGGTGATGTTGTGTAAATTAGCTCTACATTGTGTTGCTTGCGTTGATGAATGCAGGAATGTAAATGCATGAGCTAACCATTTTTGTCTAAACTGTGAAGCAGCATTATATATGCATCATGTGCATGATTTTTCCATATATGGCATTAGTGGAAATATGCTTATAGGGACTTTTTGGTTGATAAATACGCTTTGCTGTGTAAAAATCACACGCACCTAGTGCGTGCGTGGGTTTAGGTTAGTAAATCACCCCCATTGGGTTTAGATATTTTTTAGGAAAACATTGGCACAAAACAAGGAATTATGGTAACTGATTCTCTTTTGAACGGTAAATAGTGAAATCTGCCAGTCAAAGAGAATGTGGATTGTTGACTGATAATATCTGAAGATCATCAACGTTCCTTGAAATAAAGGTTAATATGTCTGCTGCCCCAGGCTTTTTAAGCCTCTCTCACTCAACTCAAAGTTTTGGAAACGGAGTCCTAATTTCTTAACAGCACTGAGATTTTAAGCCAAAGCAGTGTTGGGTTTCTAGTTTAATAATTACCGTAATCTCTGAACTTGGCTAAGAGTTACCAGTGAAAAGCTGCCTTAAAGGATTACTGGTTAGGAATGGAATTTGTTACCAAGAAGTCCATTATGCAACATTCAAAGATCTGTTCATACAAATTTGTGGTACAAATACGTTGTAATCGTACGGATCAATGTACTCTGAAATAGTTATTGGTTTGTTTTCATTTTGATTATTTATTGTTGTGCCACAATATTTTCCTTTTATATTTGCAATATAATTATATGTATTCATAATCATTTATCTTTATATATAATTTTTGTCCTTCTACAGAATGTCATCCATGCAGGCAGTGCCATATTGGATCACAGCAACAAAGATCACTGGGACCACATTCAAAGAACTGAAGGGGGCACTGCCCATTTGCTAAAGCACTATGAAGAATATGCTAACAATGTGGCCAGGAATATGAAAAAGACTTATATGAAGCCTTTTGTCATTGTCACCAAAAATATTAGTGAGTAGCTGCTCTGAATACTTCTTTATAAACTGATGCCAATTTTTAGCTCTATGGTCCTAGGTTTAAAACTAGCTGTGGCACAATAGAGTTCCTAGTTTCTTCCAGTAATTTTTGGGACCGAAATGAAGGTGGTGATTAAACGTTAGAGAATTGCAGTATTTAGTTACATATAGATGATTCTGGGTCTTAGGTTCATTAAGACAGATTAAAGAGCAGTGACTATGTGCGTCTAACTCATAACAAGCTATCAGAAATGCTCATTACAATGTCATTAGGATTTGACTTGTAAACTGTAATTGGTTAAGTTGCCATGGTACTGCTTTACTGAATAAACCTCATTATGTCCACTTTTTGGGCAGGCTGTGCTAATGGGAGCAGGAGCAAAAAGGGGAGGGTATAAGTGCAAAAGATGCCCTGAATATAAAGTAATATGAACTTAGCAAGTTTTTAATATTTTCAAATGGAAGGTATGGGCTTGCTAGATTTAAAGGTGTGTTGAACCTTCTGGGTGTGCATTTTTTATTATAAATGTTCCAGTATCTGAATTAGGCAATCTTTCTTTTTTACTGGAATGCTTGTTAAGGGCTCCTTCACACCAGGCAAATTGCCATACATTTTGCCATGGTTGGGCAAACAAAAATGCATTATTTTCTCTATGACCTGTTCCACCACTGTGATATGTAATGCATGTTACCACAACATGTGTTGCTGTACCCTGTGAACGAGATCTTGCTAATTGTTAAATGAGCAGCACGTTATTTCTGGTAAAAGAAAACACAAAAAATAAATTATACAGTATTGTGTGATTTACCATAGTAGAAAATGTTAAGACTCTAGTAATTCCACCATTCTCAGAATTTGTTTCTGTCTTGTTTTAAATGCCATTTTATTATCCTTTAGTGACTCATGAACATCTTAAGAGCTTATTCATGACTAATATCATTACAGCAAGGGTGTGTTCACCATAGAAGAGTTACACAGGGAATAATGATTTATATCTCAGTTATACCTCACTACTACTTTTGTTATATATCTGCCTTTTGGATAGATTGAAGGATACATTTATTTTCTGTCCACCTGTAGTAACAGTTTAAAAAAAACAAACTTGTTTTAATGAATGCCAGTGCCTAGTATCATGGATCTGCCAAGACTATATTCCCTGCTGTGGCACATTTACTGAGCTGGTTAAATGATATTTTGGTCATCTTGTGGTCCATTAAACATTAATATGTTCATCTTCATTTCAAATAAGGTGCAATATCGTGCCAGTCATCACGTGGAATCATCTTTCATTCCTCACGCAATCTTTTTGTAATCTTAAAAAAAAATAACTCTAATCAAAGTGTTAAGGTTTTATGTTTCCAATGCCCCCATGTCTTCAATTGGCAAATACATTTTCACAACTTTGGAACTTTGTTCTTGGGTATGGCCAGGCCTGCTTTCAACATATAGCTGAGCATTCCTGAACCCAAGTTCAGTATCAAAAGCTAGTTTTCAATGTATTAACATTGTGTGTATACTTTATGTATGTGTGTATGTGTGTACTGTATATGTGTGTGTAAGTGGTGCAAATGTAAAATAATAGCCCTCGCATAATGAGATGATATAATCCATACATCTCTTTCTGTACATTTATCCATCTATCCATCAGTCATTGCCGTCGACATATTTGACAAGGCTAATTTCAGTGGAGCCAGAGTACCTGAGTTTAGTACAATATATGAAGATTATCCTAAGGATTTGCAGTCATCAGTCCTGTTCCCCGACACTCTGTTTAAACCTCCGGAAAGAAAAGGTAAATTACCATAGTGTTTTATATTTAAAAGCCGATCCCTTGACTCTGAATGATACATAATGCTTTGTGTATGTTGTACATTCTTCTAACATTTGTGCATTATTATACTCATTATATTTGTTCTTTAATCCAGTTGTTTTCTAGATTAGCTTCCATCTTTCTCTGCTGGGAAACATTAAAAAAGCAGTGCAAATATACATGTGTGAACAATAACTGCTAAGATTTTGCATGGGCCTGAGTAGCTTTGATGGTTGTTCTCATCTATTGATAACATTACCATATGTTTGTTAATTTTCAGTTAGACATTGTTTTGCATTAGCTATATTTTTGGCTTGCTATATCCAGAAATGTTCAATATATTCATGCTTATATGTAATGATGGTCATATTCAATTTCTGCATAGGACTCCTAATTGTTCATTTTATTTATATATATATTTATTTCCCATTTACCTATATAAGGTGGTGGTAAGCCAAACCAAATATAAAAAAATATGCATTCATAAGATCCTTGTTGGTTAACGTCATTTGTATTTTACATTTTTAAAAAGATTACGCCACAGAAATTGGGACAATAATTTATAAGGCCAGTTCATAAAATGTGTTTGGGGTAGTGTAGCATCTTAATTAGCTTCAATTCTTTCTGGAAACATCATCTGCATTGAGCTTGTGTTATTTGTCCTGACATTTTCTCTTATAACCCAACATATGTTGATATTTTATCAAGTCTACCCAAGTCATATGTCTGAATGTATGTTCTTAATGGAGGTTTAGGTTTTAAGCTCCATTTGCTGACATATGAAATATTTAAGTATGTCAGTACTATGCACTTGGCTATTCAGTTGTTCAAAGCACAGTTACAAAATAAGATGGGTTCTATAGAAACTATTTTAATTGTAACTGAAACTTGTTTTAATATAAGGTTGGCATTTTCTGCCAGACCTCATATTTGTGTGGTGTATGTAATGGGACAAATGAACATAAGTTGAGCCACTGCCACCAGAATCATCAGAGGTTGCAGATAGCTGCATGTGCCCCACAAGCCACTGGTTAATGACCAGTTTTGTGAATATTGCAAGTTACTATTTACACCCATAGGTCCAGGGGTAGTGCCCCAATGGTAGTTTTTCTCTTTAGACTAGATCACAATGGCAGACAGAATCAAACACCGCGCCAGCAGATTTTGGTTCAAGAGAGTATTAGTCAATGATGTTCAGGAGTGCAGGGCGATAACGGGGCGGCTCTCACCAGGTTCAGAACAACCTCAGCACTGCAAGACAAGACACAGAGAGCGCCTCCATCGCATAAAAACTTTTTAATTTGTTTATTAAAACGTTTTTATGCGATGGAAGCGCTCTCTGTGTCTTGTCTTGTAGATCACAATGGTTTAGTTGATAGGTTTGTATAACAAATACAAATAATACAAACCTTCAGGGCACAAAGTTCCAGCTTTTTATTACCTGGAAGGTTTTCTTCTTGAGTAATAGTTGTTTTTTTTTTATATGGTCAGATATCTGCCTTTCCATTACGTTTAGGGTTGCACAGATACTAAGTACAGTACTCGGTACAAGTACGAGTACATGTACCGATACTTTTGAGCTCCAAGACTAGACTAGAGAAAAATTAAAAAATTAGGAGGCAGCTGTCATTTGTAAGGAGCACACGGAGCTCCTGGGATTTGTACATCTCTGTTTTAATGTACGATTTTGTTTTTATAAATATAAATAAAGGGATGCACAGATACCAGTTTTGTGAGTACGAGTACTGATACTTGCCGAGTACTTACAAGTACGAGTACTGATACATTTTTGTTTATTGTCATGTGACAGTTTTTCTAAAACAATACAGATTAATGATTTCAGGACAGTGGTGGAGCGGCAGGGCCAGGTCCCAGCTGCAAGCGCTGCAACCCTGGTAGTTCTCATGAAAATGCCAAGTATCTGCACTGGTACTCGAAAAGTATCTGTGCATCCCTAATTACGTTCATTTGTTGAAAATGCACATAGTGTGGCGAACCACAATTTAATAACATCCTGACTAGACCTGCAAGCATAAAATTTCATTCTATGGGTTGTTATCCTGTAATCAGTATAAAATGAGTCACACTTGATTAATGTTTACAAGAAATAATAATTGGTGCACACTATGCAGAGAAGATTGATAAGGGCACAAAGACAGCACCTGGCACAGTAAATGAAATTAAAAGATGGAATATGTTGTGCTTGGATTATCCTGTCACTCTGCATCTTCTTGAAATATACAGTATAATAGTAGGTTGCTAGCAAATGTGTCTTATGAAAGAACCAAAAATGTATTATCATATAAAGTTGCTTAAAGTGTTTATGATAACGTTGCTAAATCTAAAAAAGTTTAGCTACGGACTCATTCCTCTCAAAACTGGTATTTCTGTTAATGCATATTATTTTTGGGGACCTGATTGGCAAGGTCCCAAATTTGCCCACTTGCCCTGGCCATTATAGTGGGTTCTCAATTTACTTGTTGCATTATTAATTTCCTTTTACATAAAGCAGAATGCAGCCGGTGTAGTGAGTCTTGTTCTGATGTAGTGGGATATGTAAAAATCGTTGGTAGCTGTGGTAGAGTTTGCCACTGAAGCCAATGGTTGATTTAGCTTTCGTCACCTGCTTTCAAGTGAAGTATCAATTTTGGATGGTCTTTAAACACTTGAAGTTTATGAATGTATCAGTTTTTACAGTTTGGTTAAATTGATTTACTACATGCTTTTTAAAAAAGTTTACGTTGTAAATACTGTATATTTCTGATGGCGCAGTTACGTTAACTGGAAGGCAGCAGATGACAGGGACTGCAATAAGTACTTTTTGCACAAAATGACTTTTTATAGCAAGTTTATTTTAGAATTTAGAGAGTGTAAACATGGCAGCTTTATTAGATGTTAAAAGATTTCATTGTATGACTTCACTGTTTTAGCAGCATTGTTCATATGAGGCTGTATTTCATTTATTGGCAATAACATTTTACATTCTGTAGTCAATGCAGAAGTAAAGCTTTAATGCTAGTGTTCTCACAAGACAATGTAGTGTGACTAAAGAGGCCAGCGTTACCTACACTGAAACTTTACTTGATTTTTTACGCAGCTCTTCCTACAATGAAACCACCAAATCAGAATTATCCCAGCAGTGAGGATGAATATGACTCTCATCTGTCCAGGAGAAAAAAGAGGCAGCCAGATCCATCAAACCAACACGCAGTTGCTATGGTGATTGTTTACCGCTCTCTGGGCCAGCTATTGCCAGAACATTATGATCCCGACCGCAGAAGTCTGAGGTACTTAAGTGAACTCTCCATTGTCCCTATTATTCCGTTTTACAACATAAACTTTATCCATATCGCTCTGCACAAACACGGCAACACTTAGGAAAGTTTTGATAAATTAGCTAATTTTGCTAATTGCATCAGCAAAGGCAAAAAAGAAAATCCATCTTGACATATGTCAAATATTGGTTGGTGCTCAACACTACTGACTTCTCTCTTCAGTTTGTTCAGTTAAGATTTGAAAATGAAAGATAGAAGCTGATTGGTTGCCATGCACAGCTGCTCCAGTTTTTGTCTGCTCCAGTTTTGATAAATCCCCCACAATATGCACACTTTGCACATTTATATAGAATCTGAGGGTATATACTAGATATACTCTCACTTCTCTGCTGTCTGGCAAGTCTGGAAATTTTAAAGGCACATTATTCTTCCTTTGACTAAGTGTTATAGGCACAGGATGTTTCTAGCACTACAGTTCTATAATACTTTGGTCTTCTTTTCCTACAGAGTACCTAATCGTCCAGTCATTAATACACCTATTGTGAGTGCAGTCGTGCACAATGAAGGAGAGCTACTACCACCACCACAACTAGACAGGCTCTTCATCCTGGAATATACACTGTTAGAGACTGAGGAGAGAACCAAACCTGTGTGTGTCTTCTGGAATCACTCCATCATGTAAGGGTCTAATTTTATTGTAGCTTGTAGAAAATGACTAGATTCATGCTTTTCAGACAAGGTTCCTATTACCTTACCTCAAAGCTTTAACGTTTCTTTGGTTGTTTTTGGGAGAACCTTTGTACCAGTATTGTTACCTTTTGAAAGTGTGATATTATTTGATTTATCAATGTCTTGTCACACAGAGTTGGAGGCGTTGGAGGATGGTCTTCCAAAGGCTGTGAACTGCTTTCCAGAAATAAAAGTCACGTGTCCTGTCAGTGTAACCACATGACCAGCTTTGCTGTATTAATGGATATTTCCAAACGAGAGGTAAGCTAAAGAGGAGAAATATCTACAGTATGGAATATTGCTTTTTTGGGTGAGTTTACCCACATTAAATAGCAAGCCATGGAAAAAAAAAATCTTTCTGGTATTGTTGCTTATATTGGCTAGTGACAATACAAAAAAGTAGGGATGCACCGATACCAGGTACCGTACTCGGTACAAGTGCAGATACTTTTACAGCTCCAAACTAGACTAGAGAAAAATTAAAAAGTTAGGAGGCAGCTGTCATTTGTAAGGGGCGCACGGAGCTCCTGGGATTTGTGCATCTCCGTTTTAATGTATGATTTTGTTTTTAATAAATAAAGGGATGCACTGATACCATTTTTGTAAAGTACGAGTACTGATACATTTTTGTTTATTGCCATGTGACAGTTTTTCTAAAACAATACAGACTAATGATTTCAGGACAGTGGTGGAGCATCAGACCCTGGTAGTTCTCATGAAAATGCCAAGTATCGGCGCTGGTATCTGAAAAGTATCGGTGCATCCCTACAAAAAGGGAAAGATAAAAGGAGACTAATGCATATTAAGATAGCATCAGTGCACACTAACTGTCTGATGTACAAATGTTGTAGCTGGGTGAAATCTATGCACACAGCTTTCCTGCCACTAGATGGAGCCGAGGAGCACAGGGAACTCCTATACTCCTCTGTTCCATCTAGTGGTGGGAATGTCATGCAAATGGCATTCATCAAGATATACGCTGGGTGAAATGTTCTTATATAGCTCCTAAGAGTATTTTCATGCATTTTGCAGCTATGAGAAGCTCTGGCCAAACTATTAGACATGTAACTTTGCTTCAGCTGGGATTGTTCATTCAAGAACATTTGGGGTGTTTCTGAAAATAATATTTTTCAGCATTTTCTTACATTGGTCAGTAAAAAACTTGAGTAGGCTATCATATTGAGATGCTGGAAATGCTACATTTGAGTGCTTAGAACCTTTACATAGTTACATAGTATTTGAGGTTGAATAAAGACATTAGTCCATCAAGTCCAACCTATTAGGATCTCATTCTAGGAGTACCCGTACCCCTGTATATTACGGTCCCTTAAGAAATCGTCCAAAAGTTTCTTGAACAATTCCACATTATTTGCTGAAATCACCGCCTGTGGCAGTGAGTTCCAGACCCTAACTGATCTTACTGTGAAGAACCCCCTTCGCCCCTTGTGCTGGAATTTTTTTTCCACCAATTTTAGGTGGTGGCCTCTAGTTTTTGTAACGGAGTTAATTTTAAACAGTTTATCGCTAATGTTGCTACCACCATTAAACATTTTACTATTTTCTATTTCTATTTCCTTTCTATTTCAAAATATAGTAAAAAATGCTTGAAACGTTTTGTAAACTTAAAAATGTTCATGAATGCTGATGCATAAAATCTAAAATATATCTGTCACTTCAGGCACTGATGGTGTGAACAGGTAGATTTACATGACATGGCACTGCGTATAGGTATTCATTTTGTCACAATTTCCGGAAATCCGTGCCGGATTTTCGCTTTGCTCCCTGGTTCTGGGCTGTCAGCCTATGGCAGTTGTGGCAAACCTTGGCACTCCAGCTGTTTTGGAACTACAAGTCCTATAAGGCATTGCAAGGCTCTGACAGCCACGGACATAACTCCCAGAGGCAGATGCATGTTGGGATTTGTAGTTTTGGCACAGCTGGAGTGCCAAGGTTCGCCACCACTGGCCTATGGTGTCTCAAAAGGCTGCAGCCAATCTGATCTCCTCCCCTATTTAGGACTTCCTTACTTGTTGTTCTTGGTGCGAGCAACAAGTCTTATGCCTTGTTCCGTACCCCTTGTGGCTCTAACTATCCCTCGGATCTTATTCCCTGCGCTTACTATTGGATCCTTGTGCCTTTTGGCTCCCCTGTACCAGCTGTCCCTGTTTGGCGTTATCCCCTGCTTTGCTCCTTGCGCCCCTACTAGAGTATTTCAGTGGTTACCTTTAGTATATTGCTGCAGACCTTAATTGCTTTTACCTGTGTGCTGTGAGTCTCTCTATACTGCCTTCATTGCATCACTTCTGAGTTTTCCCTCTCTAGTCTTTGTCTGTTTGCTTCCTCCTATTTACTTGCTTTCTTGTACTTCAGTTCCATCACTTACCGTGTATCTTCCTATGTTTCGCTATCACCCCTTTACTTCTGCGCTCCTCTCTTACCTTGTGGCTGTGTTGGATTCATCCATGTCTGCACACCCCCTGTGTTTGTGCTTCTTTATGTACTTTTCCCTCCTGTTAGCTTGCTTCTTTGTATGCATGTGCAACGCACATCTCTTGCTTACTTTTGTACGTTACACTTTCCTGCTCCTAAGTGTGCCTCTAAGCTACTTACCCTTCCCAGGTGTCCTTGCTTAGCTACCCTCTTCGGTATACTCTGCTGTTCTGCTGTGCATTTTGCACCTTTGCTTGGGACTTCCTCTCTCTCTCTCTCTCTCTCTCTCATTGTGTGCCACTGTTCCCATCTTCCTCCTCTTGGTTACAAGTTTCTTCCCTACCTGTTTGTATCCAGTTCACTGGTGCTTCAACTAGTCCTTTTGTGTCTGTGTGGGTGTGCTAGAGGGCCGCAACCTGGAAGGTGTCCAGCAGCCAATCATTCTCACCCTTAGAGGCTCTGTCGAATACCTGGTACTTCTTAGATTCTGCGCCTCTAGTGCATCCTGAGACGCACAGACCATTAGTTCCTCTCTCCCTGTGGCCAACATCCCAGATATCCCTCCTGTCTGTGACTCCTACCAACTCCGCAAACCCCGGAGCTCAGGTACCCTAGTGCCCTGGTCCCCAGACCGTGAAACTTTTCTCAACAAGCATACAAAACTTCTAGAAAATTGAATAATTATCAGAGATATGTCATAAACCAGTTTATGACAGTCAAGTACGCATTCTAGACAGGAAGGAGGATTGGCTTAAAAGAGGCGTGAAAGAGGCCATTTATGTAAAATAAAGAAGCCAAGCATGAATAGAGGTGGTGGGGGGGGGGGGGGGGTGGAGAAGAAATCAACACATGGTTGCAATTAAGTTTTGGTGAATTGGAGCAACATTCACCACATTTATTCCCAGATAATTTTGGCACAAGTCATTCTGAATTGAGAAAGCTGGTCGGATGACCAGTGAAACCCCTTCAAGAAAAATACAGCAAGTCCAGTTGCCTTGACTTATTTTTTACAGACAGGTTAGGGTAGTTTAGACTAGTTAAAAATGTGTGAAACAACTGTGTTGTGGAGGACAAAGCGATGAACCCTAGCACCAATGGTAGGTATATTTCTGTACATGGAATTTGGACATAATTGATTTTCTAACATTGATCCTGACTCCAGGCTGTAATCTTATTTGCCATTAACTATACTGATTATTTAAAACCGAGGTAATCATTATGTACTCCTTATGTAGTGCTTGCTAATTATAAAAAAGGATGTTAGCTGGAAATGGAGGTAATACATGCTGAATAGAAAAGGGCTGATTAGAGGAGATTCTCTTAATTGGGATTAATGTAGCTTGAAGGACTGTATATGAGGGGGTAAATTAGGGGCTGCCTTCTAAACTGATCTTGAGGCTTTAGTCTCGACATTCATTTTGTTTACATATATGATTGTTTTAAAGGGGTGATTTTAAAATGTGGAAGCACAGATAGTTTTGCCTTTGCTAAAAGATAAAATATGGCACTGATCCAGATTAGCAAAATTGTAAGGAACGATAGTTTGTAAATATGCACTTAAGAATACTCTGTATTCAGGTTAGGCTTTAATAAGTTGCTAATGTTTAGAACTGTTTATGTAGCCAATGTAACATACCACTTCTCTCAATGGCAGAACGGTGAGGTTCTACCTCTCAGGATTATCACCTACACCTCCGTGTCAGTCTCACTGGTGGCTCTGCTGTTGACTTTCATCCTGCTGGTTATCATCAGAACTCTGCGTTCCAACATTCACAATATCCACAAAAACCTGGTGGCTGCCCTCTTCTTCTCTGAGCTGGTGTTTCTCATTGGAATCAACCAGACTGAAAATCCAGTAAGTGAGAGGAAAATCACTTATAATTATTTGACTTTTTTGGGCAATCTTTTACTGTCTTCTGTTTGGGAACATTTATATATTGTTCATATGTAATTCCATTAATAATTGTATACATTTCGTTCTATTGCTTTTATGAGGTTCCTTTTTTGCACCACTCTGTTGCTATTTTATATTTAAAAAAATGCAGGGCTGCTTCCTTAGCAGAACATTAGATAGCCCGGGAGCCTAAGCACAAATGTACATGATTCCACATCCCCCCTCTTCCCTTTCTTCTCCTGGAAAGGTGCACTAACTCTCTCCACCATGATCACTTTAAAATATAGGTGGGACCAGGACAAGGATTCATTTATTGCCTCCACCTTTGGAAAATATAAGTCCAGGCAGTAATTGTGTTAACAGATTAGGTTGAAATATTAAACTTTGTGTGCCCAAGCATGTTCAGGATCGCATTGATCTAATAACTGGTAGATGCTGCTCCCTCAGCATCAGTTTAACAGCTTCCAATCCAAGTAGCTAAGTGGCCCTGTCTTGAAAGGAACTGGGGCAAATGTCCTTTCTGTTTTGTTATTAAAATGGCATTAACCCCTTGTGACCGGAAACAGATTAGAACTCTTAGCTCTGTTTCTGGTAAAAAGGTTTGTATTATTAAGTTTAAACCTTTTCGGTTAAATCATAGAATGTGCTGGTACTTTTCAGATAAGGTTCTGCTTTTCCTGATTTAGTAGTCAAATATAGTCAACATGCCCTGCTTCTGAAGCAATGGAAGATGTTTTTACGGGAGGATGTTTCATCACATCAGCCAGTGGTACCATTAGTTAGTACTGGCAATGTAGTAGACAATTAATCACTAGTATTACCTGTACTTGAGCGGCTGCCTGACACGTCATGCACTGGTAAACTCAAGAAAGAGCAGGAATGCTGGGGCTGACATAATTCATGACTACTTGGCATCTAGCCTGATTTATGAACGTTCCGCTAACAATACTGCATTAGGGAGCGGCATAAGCCTTCATGAACAGAGCTGGACCTAGGCAATTAATTGTATTACTTCATATCTTCTTATTTACCAGCAAGAGCAGTGGGAAAAAGATGGTCAGGTGCAGGTTAAATAACTGTAGTTAGCATTTTTAGCTTCAGATCTTTTAGATATTCCCCAAAGGGCTTGGATGAAACAGATCAGGCTTTCGTTCAGATTCCTTATATGCAGTGTTCAAGTGTTCCATAGCCATGCACAGCTAATCAAGATCAATATCCCACGGCACTAGCTTGCTAACTCCAGCACTGTTGCTCTTAGTAGTAAAAAATCCCACTTTACAAAATAACCTGGTTATAGCCTGCCCAGTGCAGGCTATAACCAGTGAAGTACTGGTTGAAGCAGAAGTCATGTTATTTGGCTGTACAAATGCCTTGCTTTGAATTCAGACTGGCCACTCAGTATTCAAATGTAATCAATCATGTATTGTGCTTTTAATTTTAAAAAAAATTAATTAAATTCTATCTTAGGAGAAGTACTATGTTGCAGTGATGGTCTATGGGAAACTTTTTTTATTTAAAGATTTTCAGAGCCATCATTCATCTGAAACATGTTCTGATCAGCAGAGTCTCACCTGTTTTTGTCCTTGTTCAGTTTGTGTGCACAGTGATTGCCATCCTCCTCCACTACTTCTATATGAGCACCTTTGCCTGGATGTTTGTTGAAGGACTGCACATTTACCGCATGTTGACGGAAGTCCGAAACATTGACACAGGTCATATGCGCTTCTACTATGTTGTTGGCTACGGTATACCAGCCATCATTACAGGTACGTTGCCTTTTGATTTTTTTTCTCAAAATGATGAGCAGTTATTTTGATTCATGTTAACAGGTAACATGCATAAAACACTTAGGTTAGTCTCCATGTGTCTATCATATAATATCAGTCTGATTTTATAGAAGCGCATGTGAGCGCATGTGTCCTACCAATGGCTATAACACTGAGTGAGTCAGCAGTAAAATGCCCACAGTTCCTCCAGTACTGGTGGGTCGTGACCCAAAAGTGGGTCGCAAATCCATGTTCAGTAGGTCGCCGCGTGCCTCCCACTGCGCTAGGTGAGAGGCTCCCCTGCCTCCCCCTAGCGCAGCACTGTCGGCTCTCGTGCCAAGCAGACTTTCAAAATATGCTGCCCGGCACCAAGTGTCAGCTTGAGGTGGGGCTGGGCTGGGAGTATGACCACGAGGGAGCTCCATCCATTCGTGCATTGCTAACAGCTCCCTTGCATGGCCCTGTAAAGGTTCCTGGACTGAAGTAACATTAACTAGGGTCGTGACTTAATGACCAAGGACAAATGTGGGCCCTGAGGTTACACAGGTTGAAGACCACTGCTCTACTACCTTTCAAATCTGCATTGCATACTTCATTTTTACATATAATGTAAATATTGTGACAGCAAGTAGGTCATATTTCAGCTTTTTACAACTGCAGAACCACACAGCAGGACTGTGTGGTTGGTTTACAAAACTGAAGCAAAAGGGGAGCAGTTATCCATAATCTTTAATTATTATCTTCATATTATTAATTATTATCTTCATATAGTTGAAATCTGTGTGACTGCTCACCAGAGTAGCTGGTTCATTTTTAGTGCATTTGATTTTTTTTGGTTGGAGTTTTGATAAATCGCTTCAGTTGTTTCTATCACCTGCATACTTGCCCTGTATTTGAGCCTCTGGGAAAATTCTGCATGTACCGTACCTGCTATTTAAAAAGGCATCTTTTATGTTGATTTAATGTCTGGGAACATAGGCTGAGGGTTTACATAACTTTGTTAGAGTGTTGCTGAGTGATGGCTAACTGTATTTGCTAAAAGGACAATCTCTGTCCTATGAATGCCTTAGAGTAGAGTGATTATAATGATGATGGGAATATAGGGATTCATTTATAAATGCTGCAGCAAAGGCTATTAACTAGCTGCTGTCATTGTCTACTCTCCTTAAGAACAGTGTCTTCTGAAATCTCATGGTTATCATCCAGGCCATATCACACACAGATGAATCATTAAACAAGAGACATACACCTCATCATGTCTACTGCCTCCTACAGACCCATGTGGGTTTGGAATTGGGCAGAACTATTCAACAAGTCCTGGCCTTTTCTATTAGAAGGCCAAGCATGCTCTGCAGACAAACTGTCATTGAAACACTCTGAATTAAATGTTTTTTTATAAGGATTTTATTGGAGTTTTAATTTTAAAAAAATGTTTATAAGCTTGCATATGTTTACACAATAAATTGAGCCAAGCCATTCTAGTTTCCCTATAAAATGCAGGGGCAGCTAATATGCAGTTCAGTGTCTGTCACTTTTTGTTGTTGCATTTGTGTCCACCACTGCATTATATCTTTCCAGGCGCCCTATGTACTACAAAATAGAAAAATGCTCCCTTTGTCATTAACCGAGCTTTTTGTGCATGGCTGTAAAATGCATAATCCTATATTCACTATATTACCAAAAGTATTGAGACGCCTGCCTTTACACGCACATGAACCCTAATGGCATCCCAGTCTTAGTTCGTGGGGTTTGAATATTGAGTTGGCCCACCATTTGCCGCTATAACAGCTTCAACTCTTCTGGGAAGGCTGTCCACAAGCTTTAGGAGTGCGTCTATGGGAATATTTGACCATTCCTCCAGAAGCACATTTGTGAGGTCAGGTACTGATGTTGGACGAGAAGGTCTGGCTCGCAATCTCCGCTCTAACTCATCACAAAGGTGTTCTATCAGTGACACATGTCACTGCTTGAGGAAGGGGATCCTGCATGACCCCAAAACGGTCGTTGCATCTATGTGATATGTTGCACCTCTTAAATAAGACTTTTCACGTTTGTATTGAAGTGCCGGTGTCCCTGCTTCTACTATCATCACTCCAGAGAACACGTCTCCACTTCTCTAGAGTCCAGTGGCGGCGTGCTTTACACCACTGCATTTGACACGTTGCATTGCACTCGGTGATGTAAGCTTTGGATGCAGCTGCTCGGCCATGGAAACCTATTCCATGAAGCTCTCTACGCACTGCCAATCTGAAGGCCACATGAAATTTGGAGGTCTGAAGCTATTGCCTCTGCAGACAGTTGGCGACTTCTGCGCACTTTGCGCTTCAGCATGCGCTGACCCCGCTCTGTCATTTTACGTGGCCTACCACTTCGTGGCTGAGTTGCTGTTGTTCCCAGTTGCTTCCACTTTGTTATAATACCACCAACAGGTGACCGTGGAATATTTAGTAGCAAGGAAATGTCACGGAACACCTGAGTCCAATGATTTGGAGGGGTGTCCCAATACTTTTAGTAATATACGGGTCTATTCACTAAGCTGCCGAGGGCAGCCGAGTGAACATCCAAACTGCGGCATTCACTGAGCAGCATTCGGCTTGGCTGTTCTGCTCGGTCCCTCAGAGGGATCGAGCAGAACAGAAAAATAGTTAAAAAAGTTAAAAAAAAAGTAAATAGAAAACGATTGTGCCCAACAGTTTTCTAATGTCCGGCGGTTCTGCTGCCGTAAAAATGGGAATTTTTATTTTTTCTATTCTGACATCGCTCTATGTCAGAATAAAGAAAAAAAAAGAAACAGCAGTGTTTCTCTCCTTGGCGGCCGGGAGCAGGAGACTTCCGGGGTGCCAGGGAGAGTTTGCTGTTTGGAGATCAGTGTCCCTGGTTAGCAGGTAACCAGGGACGCTGATCTCTCTGCAAGTGGCCAGAGCCAGCCGTATAATTCTGTATGCCAGAGGGGCTAAATAAAATCAGTTTGCTTTATTTCCAAGCAGTGGTACAACCTGAGGAATAACAAAATCCAGTTCATAGCTACAAAAAAAACTGCTTTTTAAACAACACTGTAGAGTCAGAGCATGAATAATGGCATTTGTCTTTTCAGCATGTATTGTTGAGTATGATTCTTGACCGTCTCAATAGAGAGAGTGGGTGTTACACAAAGCTTTTAAAGAATACATCTCTCACATATACTGTATTTGTTTTAATGTTGCTTCTATAGTTATGGGTTGAGTGTGATGTAGCCTTTAATGCTCAACTTTTGCATTTTTTTATTCCAGGGCTTGCTGTAGGTCTGGACCCTCAGGGATATGGGAACCCTGATTTCTGCTGGTTATCAGTACATGACACTCTCATCTGGAGTTTTGCTGGTCCTATTGGCATTGTAGTCGCTGTAAGTGTTGATCTGCTGTTTCAAAATACAGCACCTTGCAGTTAAAAGCAAGGAAAGCCACATCATATAATTAACTGATTTTCAGAGTTGATGATTTAACAACAAAAGGTTTGCATCTCTGGCACATGGAACGTACATTGTGGAGGAAACCCCAGAATTTACATTCGGAGATCTCCGTGTTATTTAAGTGTCCTGTACCTCTATAATTACATTTGTAACCAGTATTAAGTCCGTTAAAATATAGAGGAGCCACAAATGGGTACAATAGTATTATGACCAGGTGGTTCTATCCTATGGTATGAATGTGACACTAGGGAGAGGATGGGCATAAGGAATTGGGAGTAGACCTGGCATTAGACAAGACACTGGGTGATGGGGGGTGGGAAACAGCAGTTTTTCATGTCAGCCAAAGAAGAAATTAAGCCAGGAGGTGAAAAAGCCACAGGGATAGGATATGTAAGAATTGGGGGTCTAACCTAAAAGAAGGACAAGTCCAGGCAGACAAGAGAAATTAGACAAGCCTCTTTTATTCAGCACATTTTACCATACCAGAGAAAACTTTTTTCCCTACCTGCCCAATAGATTTTGGTCACTTGTTTTGAACAATCCTAACTAATGCTTCCTCTTTTTGGCAGTGTGACCAGTTGTATTGGAGGATTATAATATATAAGCACCCTATAGGCTCCATATTTATATATTTGTTTTATACGTCTTTATAGAGAGGCAACCCGATGCTTAAAGTATATTTGTTACAATGTCTGCTGGGGAGGGACACATTTCCTCTTCACTGAACATAGGAATGTTTTTAGCTACAGCAAGAACTATGCAGGCTTGTTGTATCTAATATGTTTCTTGTGCAGCTAAAACTCTCTGGGCCCTTATGCAAAATGTCTACATGGGCGTTAAAACATTTTTCACAACTGATAAAAATACACGCACATCTCTTAAAAATGCCCCCACCCTTTGAACATTAAAGGTGCTCCTAGACCTATCTTGGTGGGGTTTCCATTGATATAATGAGATGGAGACGGAATAAGATTCTTGAGTGGGGTGAGGGTGTTCTCAGTAGCACATGTTAAATCTGCTGCCATTGTTGATGTGTCATTTCATTACAGATAAATATAATCATCTTTGTATTGGCTGTGAAGACATCGTGTGGTCGAAGGCAACGAATGTTTGAGAAAACCGGAGTTCTGTAAGTCTTAAAACGGATGTTAACAAGCTTAACACTTTACCTATAAAGTTATATGGCTACACTGTCATACCAACTGCTGCTTATTGATAAATGTCCACTGGGCTATTTTTTTTTCTGCCATTGTAATATAATGCTTCAATAAGCACACACCTAACACAGGATTATATTCTGACTTTTAGCTCTACACTGAGAACGGCATTCCTATTACTGCTTCTAATCAGTGCCACGTGGTTATTGGGGCTTATGGCAGTCAACAGCGATGTCATGACCTTTCACTACCTCTTTGCCATCTTCAGCTGTATGCAGGTAACTTGTCTTTATTAACATGAAACATTTCTGTAGTGTGAACTGTACTGATAAAGAAAAGCTATTCACTTTCTGTTGTAACATTTTTTGTTTAGTATTGCTTATTGCAGTAGGTGCAATTACAGTGTTTGTAGCACATCCTCCCCTCCTACGTCACTGACCGTATATAACCCTAGCTCCGTTTCACGTTACCCGTTTTACTTAGGAGCAGCACCTCTCAATTATTGATGGTAATAATTATGCTGCCACAGGTAGACCTGCATTCAGAACTCTTACAGGCATTATTCGGTATTTATATTTCCCTTGTCGTGACTTTAATCCCACCCAGGCCGAGATTTAACATTTTGTAGTTCCTATAGTACCTATCAAGCTACTTCCTATCACCTGATTTGCTTTTAGACGGCTTTACAAACCCCCTCTTATGCCACACCTAAAACAAAGTCAATACATTTGGAACAGTTCAACTTAATATGGATACTTTATTGCCTAATGTGTAGATTATATTTGACTTTCAAATAAATAAAATTTACATACAGTGCATATCTGTATATGTGCATATTTATATATGAATTATCATTATTATTTTTATTTAAGACATGAATGTGAAGATAAAACACTTGTTTTTTTATATGGTTTGTAAATATATCTGTAGATATGGGCAGCCATATTTGTTAACAGCATGTAGTAACTGCTTCATGTTTAGAAACATTCACAGCGTTTGTGCCTTTCCTTTCTTTTCTCCATAGGAGGGATAATTACATTTACAATTTCTATCATTGTTTGTGATGATTGGTGTGTTAAATAGACTGGTATAGTTACAGAGTGGTTTTATTAAGCTGTATATATCGGGGGGGATTTATCAAAACTGGAATAGACAGAATCTGGAGCAGTTTCTCATGGCAACCAATCAGCTTCTCTCTTTAGTTTGCTCATTTAAGCTTTGAAAATGAAAGAGAGAAGCTGATTGGTTACCATGGGCAGCTGCTCCATATTCTGTCTGCTCCAGTTTTGATAAATTTGCCTACGTGGGTCTTTGTATTTCCATTCGAAGCCAATACCTTGGCCGATATATGAGGAACAAAGTGGTTTGGGATTCACGTAGTAGTCAATTAGCTGCCAGCAGTTCTACTCTTAGAATATATTCGGCAGGTAATGAAAACATTTAACCAGTTGCCGTCTGCCCGTTGAAAAAAAACGGACGGACGGCAGACTCGCATTGGCGGGTTGCCATCTCGCGCACGGGCAGGAATGACCCCCTCGTTTTTACAGCCGTTAACGGCTGTTTCACATACAGCCGATCAGCGGCTCTATATATGTATTGTATCAAAGTACCGCAGCGTTGAATACTGAAAAATGGCCTGGATGGGAAGGGGGTTTAACACCGCGGACTTCAAGTGGTTAATTGGTAGTTTAAATAGAAAAACATTGACAATTTTTTCCTCCATATTTTATAAACCTTTGTTAGTGTCTTTAGATGTGTTGTGTATTTCATGGCTATCAGATATGAGTCAATAATTAAAAATCTGTTCTACTGGTAATGTGCCCAATCCTCTCCCATAAGCTGATCAGCCAGGTTCTAATCTGCTAATCCACTAATGGTAAGTTCTTTAATTTTTGAGGGGTTTGAGCTTTTTCTTCTTTTTTTCAAAAAAAGGTTTTTAAATATTAAGAAGGACCACATTGCCACTCCATCTACATGACTTACATTACATTATATCCTCCTAGCTGAAGGACAGTGAGTGCAGGTTCCTCACCTTCCTATACGCATTTAAATATGGGTGCTAAGAAACAATGAGGAAGCCCCTAAATGGGAGGAAGCCCTCTGGCCGTGAATATAACAGCCGGTATACTGGTGTCCCTTGAGGTTTGGGCTGCATTTACTTGTTTCTTTCATTATTAAAAAAAGAAAGAAATTGATTATTTACAGACTTAGCAACTGGTGATCAGTGGATTAGAAAAGATCCACAAATCTCCACCAGCTGTGAAATGATATGATACTGGCTTAAACTTTAACTGAGGCGATCGATTGGCTTATCTATGCTGGCTATCTCTTCTAAGTTTAGACAAGTGGTTTCACTTTTTATGTGTTCAGAAGACTTTTACTTTGACATATCTATGAATGTACATTTTTCACAAATTGTCTACAAATGCAACAATAATGGCAATAAAAATTAAATGCAGGTATTGCTTTGTGTCCGTGTCCATCGGCCTCTCTTCAGTCAGGTGACTGTAATCTCTATAATGATAGTGAAATATTTTTTAAATAGCTTTTGGCTAAATTGCACCTACAGCATTAAATTACTTATCACTGACTGTTTCTGTCAGCAGCAGTAATATATGTTCCCAAACTGCCCCTGACCTCTGCTGATCTGCATACTGATAACGATTTATTGCACTCAAAAAATTCAAACTGGAAATCTCTATTTGTTTGGAGTATTGTGGTAGCAAGCATGTGATATGATGTTTACATGTAATCAGTAATATATGAGTTTTTAGCATACTATTGGGTAGAAAATCATGCTACTGCACATATATGTGTCTTATTTAGCCACTTGATGACTGGGGTGTTAAACCGCCTTCCTTGTCTAGACCATTTTTCAGTATTCAGCGCTGTTGTACTTTGACAATCATTCAGTCATGCAACACTGTACTGAAATACATTTTATATAATTTTTTGGAGACAGATAGAGCTTTCTTTTGGTGGTATTTAGTCACCACTGGGGTTTTTTTTTAACTATATTAAGGACAAATTACCGCAAAATGTTAAAAATAACCAGTTTTCCCTGTTAAGCTGTGAAACATTGCACATAAATAATCTTTCTTCATATATTTCTGCTAGAATGTGCTGGAAAACAAAGTATTGTTTGAAATAGTTGTCACTGTCTCCTCTCCTCTCACAAACAGTGTGTGAGAGATGAGGCAATATCGCTGAAAACAGCAACAGTGTTTCCATTTAGTAATCTGCTGTGATTGGTCACAGCAATCACGCAGAACAGAGCCGATTTCAGAGGCTCGGCGCCAATTTGTTTAAACTACACTGTCCAATGGACAGTGTGCTTAAACTTGATTGCTCGTGACCGCGTTAGGGGGCGCGCATGAGCAAAAAAAAAAAAAGGATGTGTATTTATATGATTCACCAGGAGCTGACAGCCATCCGAATGTGCAGAGACAGTGGGCGGACGGCAAGTGGTTAATATTGTGTTATGTAAAATGTATGATTGTACATTTGCCCCATAACAGATTTGGGGCTAATGTGATGAATGATGAAAAAAATCTATGTTTGTATGCTAAATATATTATCCCATGTGTATACATGCATGCAGAACCACCCAATTTAATGTATTTGGTGATCGTGATAATTTTGTCTTTAATTCTTCAAGCTTAAATTCTGTATAACCGTTAGGAACTCATTATATGTCACCTTTGATTTTCTGCAGGGTCTTTTCATCTTCTTTTTCCACTGCATCTTTAACAAAGAAGTGAGAAAGCAACTAAAGAATACTTTTACAGGAAAGAAAGTCCTAGCAGATGACACAACAACAACAAGAGCCACTTTACTAACAGTAAGTTCAGTCCAGTATTTGTCTGTTCATTTTCTGGTGTCTCTCTGCTGCCCTCCATAGGTGCTCCTTGGAACTATTTTAAAAGGGGACTCTTATCTGTTGTTGGTCCATTGAGCCATTGAGGATTTTACCTCTTGTTGGTGTTGTAAATTGTCTCCCTTTTGCTAGTTCCTATGAAAAGCTGCTAGCCCTTCAACTTGTTGCAATCTACAAAAAGTAAAGTATTTTAGTTTTTTTTTTTTAATTCTTTATTTTTGAGCAAACATTTTACAGTAAACAAATAACACATATACGGTCGATAAATGATATCGTACAGGTACAAACGTAGGAAGCATGTCTATTTCTCCTATCTCTAGCCGCTTAACGTATTTTAGTTTTTAACCTCCTTTCAATTGACAAGGTTAAATTCCTCCACTATCTGAAAGGCAATTGGCATATGCCTTCGGAGAAAACCTTTCATTATCTCCAAATTAAATGCTGTCATTGCCCTGATTAGGGACTGCACCATTTCCCCTTATTATCGGCCTTTAAAGACTGCTTCACACAACCTCACTTCTTTTACAACACTTTTACCTTCGCCGCCAATGGCATCAACCTTCCATACATGTTAAAATAGGAGGCAGACATTAGGAAAACCTTGGATGCTCCAGAATGTAACAAAATATGGTCAGCTGCTTCAAAGTGCTCCACCAACATACTAGCTTAAAATAACTCATAAAGTTCTATTCCACTAGTACATGACGCCAAAATGTATTGCCATATTTGTACCCAGATTCTTCCCAAACTGCTGTAGAGGGTGCAGTAGTCCTGCTGCTATTCTGCATGTATAGCATGAATGTCCTAAAGTTCTCTAACTTGACCAAACACAAATGAAAACTTGTTACCTCCATTTTCCTGACCACAAAGCAAACAATTGCTAAAGCCTGGAGACAAATGTCAGCATTGTGTAGGATGAAATGATGGCTATTCTAAATGATACCCAAAAGACCTTCTTTAAAACATGGTTAGGGCATCAACATTTGCTGAGAATGGATCCATAACAATTTTTTTTTGGAGCACTTAGTTGAGGCTCACACTTTCCCCAGCCAGCCGCCCCCCTCCCCCCCCCAAAA